TATATTAATTTAAATTTAAATACATACATGTACACTATATTTAATATCTGTTTTAATTTTTAAATGAAGTTAGACTTTTCGTAAGTGGACGGATTCGAATGTATATCGTCACAATTTTTTTGTTGCAGTGTATCGAATTAGAAAATTATCAAGCTTGTTCCAAGATAGCGGCATTAGAGGGTGACATTCTGACCGCTTTTACATATCAATTGAAGGCGTTACATAAATTAAGTGCTCGCTCATCTATAAGTCATTCAATATCAGAAACAATTCCGTATGAATCCACAGCTAAGATCATCTCGCAAAATGTGGACGCGACGAAGGATATTGCGTCCTGTCGAAGTATCAAGAAGAATACTGAATTGTTCAATAGACAGGCGGAGAAAAATCTCATGGAATCCCTGGAGAACAGCGTCACACGAAGCTGGACGAAGATTTCTACGAGTAGATCGTTGAATAATTTGCAAGCGATCGCGCAAGAACTGTATACCTTTGATTGCCAGGGTGGTTTAGAAGAATTATGTATAACGCGAAGAAAGGAGGAAGAATCACCTTCGAACGCGGGTCAGATCTCTGACGTCGAGTCTAGCGCGAACGAAGACGAGCAACGCGAATGGATCGAAAATCTTATCTTCGACGAGAACGATTCACATAAATCGCACGAATCGCATAAAAACATTGCTCGTAACAACGCGCAAAATTTTACACAATCGATCTGCGCGAAAACAATGATAAATAGTGTTAATAATGACAGTCAGATGAATCAGTGCGACGCGTATAAAGAGAACATCGCGTTTTCTGACAAAGTGTCCTCGCGTACTCAGAGGAATTACATGATCAATGAGACCATAAAGGCGCTAAAGTTTTACTTGAACAATATTGGTAACGAGGCGAACACCCTGAGATGCGAAGTATTGCGATGTGCGATTCATTTTTGGATCGAGCATGATTTACCTATGCAAAGTTTGGAGAACGTATTTCTCGAACACATATGTGTCATTTACTATCCGCTTGGATTATTATTGTTTTGGTGAGTTGATATTACATCATGGAGCAGCTTTACGTAGCAACTTGTGTCTTTTTATCTCATCTTCAATTGAGATTGTAATTTCTTCGCTTTTTTTATGGACATGTTTAATGAATGAACACAGGGATTAATTGAGACGCTCTTGAAGATCACAAAACTCTTTTTTTCTATATGTTTCTTTTCGAATTAATAAAAGATAGAAAGTCTATATAATTTTATATTAAAACTTTAATCTCTGACTGCAGAAGAAACATTTTTGACAGATATATATACAGTTCGGGAATCCCTGAAATATCGAGATCGAAATGAAATGTGAAACGAATCAATTCATGATATTGTGATTTCTTTTATAGCCAAGAAGCGATAGGAAGATACCTGGATGCAAACAAGTGCGATAAAGGGGGCAAGAATGATTGGTGCATGAAGGACTTATTCTCGCTCAAATTTTGTCTCCAAGTATTATCAATGTTGATGCAACATGTAAATGAAGGTTACGCATCTATACATTTTTCTTTTTTTTTTCGACTTTCGAAAAACAGACGTGAATTCAATGAGAGTAACGCTAACGACTAACTTATATTTTAGACAATACCATGCCCGAATACGTCAAAGTCTTCTCCTGTTTAATGGCCGACAATTATGGGGCACCGTTAAACGGATATCCGGGCGCGAGTAGAAACAATAGCTCACAACAAATGATGGAGGGAATTATTAGTACAGTGTCCTCTGAAATGGAACACTCCAAACTATTCGCACACATCAAGGTAAAATACTTTATCTATCGCTAATCTACAAGATATATATTTCACTATGTTAGCTTACATTAAATTTAGTTGTATCAAATTAGCGTGATTCTTTACATTACATTACAATACTTATTTTAAAGAAAATTAGTATCGTATATATCACACATTACAATAAATATATCAAATATTAACACTATTCATCCTCCTCCCATCTTCTCAAATATAGAGTCAGTCAATGTCCCTAGATCATCAATGCACCTTCTTTCACTCTTCGCAGAAATTTAAGAACTTTGTGATTGTTTTACGTGATTTTGAAAAATACAATTTTTATTATATTTATATTAATTATATTATAATTTATATTGCATATTATATTTAAGATATTTATATTAACAGGATTCGGATGCTGTGAATCGTTTGCTCACGGTGGAAGAGGATAATATGGTGTTTACTTGTGGACATCATTTTCCAATCTCTATATACGAGACGGACGTTATTCCAAGGATGGAAACCGAATTATTAACGTCTCCATTGCTAGTTCTTCCATGCACATCACAGTATTTAGGAAACATGTTATCTGGCACGTCTAAGCCAGAAATCCTGTGCCCGTTGTGTATAGTCGAAGCATTGAGATTGACAGTGGAGAAAAATTACAAATGAAAGTATCTCTCCGAAACATATGGGCGTAAAGTTCGAAAGATAGTTTCTTCTCTCAGCAATCTGACAACACACGCGCGGGTTCCGCTAGCAGAATATATCAGAGTGTGATCCTTCCGTTACGAATGCACCTCTCGTTCTTCTTTTTCTTTCTGTAAAGAATAAGATTGTTCAGTTTATTAACATATATTAATAAATCAAGACAGAGAGTGACGTGACACAAATATATTAATATAAATTAATTTATGTAAATATATATGTGATCAAAATAAAAGAAATATCAAGAGACATGGTAGTGTCTCTCACTAAATTCAAAATGTAACGAGTACATTTATTTGATTAGTATACATGTATGTTAACAGCGCCATGTTTTTTTAAATAAACATTTTTTTATATTTAAATGTTTCACTATTTAAAAAAAAATTGCAATTTAGATATAGCATCTTTTTAACTGGTTAACCAGTTCATTGGTGGACCCGAAATCAACGTTTTGTGCCAAAACTGATAAGAGTAAATAATTTCGTATTAGTCATCGACCCAAAAAATATGGGTGTATTAAGTTTAATGCAAATCCGTTGAAAATTGGCAGTTATTCATGGTGCCCATACATGAGTCATTACCAGTGAACTGGTTAACCAGTTAGAAGTAATAATTAATTTTTATTTAAAAATTTTTGTATACTTAAATATGTTTTACTATTTTAAAAGAAATTGCAATTTAGATACAGCATCTTTTTAATGTGTTAGAAATGACAATAAGTAAATTTTTTTTATTAATTGACCTGCAATATTTCTATATCACTATTTTTGTAGAAATTTAAAGCAACTATTTTGTACCACAGTTTTTCTGGTTTGGATAAAATAACACTATATTACATAACTATTTTTTACACCTGTCGCATGGACTCGCTTTTTTTTTTACTTTTTTTTTAAAAGATAATTTTTTACCTTTGGTACAGGACAGAAGAAACAGAACAGTTTTTTCCGTTACGCGTGCACCTCTCATTCTTTTTTTTCTTTCTGTAAAGAGTAAGATTGTTCAATTTATCAATATATTAATAAATCAAAACAGAGAATAATATGACAAATATATTAATATAAATTAATTTATATAAATATATATAATGCCGTTTTTTGGTCTTCATTTGTTAGTAAAAAACGGAACGAACTTTCCGTTCAACCCAATATATATGATACCAAATAAAAGAAATATATTGTTGACCTTTTATTTAATGCGGCTCTCGTTAAGGGTAGATACGCGTAAGGATCTGGTTTACCCTTCCTCTTAATATCTCCTCCGGCCTTCACCGCGCGATATTCCGAACCAAGTTCCACCTTTCTCGCTTTTAGCGGTCGGTGAATACCCGAGCCACCAGCTAAAATCAAAGAGATCGAAATTAAATTAATTAAATTAATCAAGATAAAATAATTTCTCGAGAAAAAGATTGTCTCTAAGAACTTATCACTCTATGGAAAATTAAATTTGACGGTTTTGTTGAGATACCTTGGTATCTCGATGTTGACTGACTCTTCAAGCTCATCACGTCCGACGTGCTTTCGCTATATTTCCTTTTTTTGACGGCATTCTTCGTGGCCGCCACCGATACATCGTCCTCACCCTCTACAAAATATATAAAATTATCATGAGGTATGCAAGAGATATATCATTAACACAATCCTGAATAAACTCTAATAACATCTTACCATAATCGTCCTCTTCTGAATCATTTTGAAAGAAAGAAGCTTTCTTCTTCTTACTCCTGTCCTCTGTGTCACTGTCCTTTTCATTACCATCTGTGATGATGAGGCGACCATCGGGTGCGGTTTTGAAGCTGTGATCCTTTACCCTTTTCACTGGAATCTTCGGATTTGTCACGCCCGGTTGTGTAGCTGAAACGTACAAAACTGAATAATGCAAATCTTTTTCTTCGCAATTATTGCAAGCAATCCTACAAACATTAACTACAGTTAGATGAGATCTAATTAATTTTCTGTTTTTTTTTCTATTCTGCATATCTAGACAGAAATACAGTTTTGAACACCAATTTAATTATTATAACTGAGAAAAAAGAATAATACACACAAGATCAATTAAGAAACTCGGCTTAATTAACTAAGAGAAATATTAGAGAATCCATTAAATGTACCAAATCAATTATAAAAAAGAAACGCGTTTATGAGAAGCTCCATATTTAAAAAAATGACCATAAACCAACTTGTAATATTCCTGGCAGCTGCGGGATCTATAAGATCAACTATGTTCCCCTCGTTCTCTTGAATCCAGGCATCCTTCCTTGATGTTCTCTTCTTGCTTCTCGTCGGTCTCTCGTTTTCCGTCGCCTCGAATTCCTCATCACTATCAGCCAATATCTCTTCTATGCTCTTAGGCCTCCTCTTGGCGTTAAATTCCATGTCGTCGTTCTCCAGCTTCTTCGCCCTTTCAAGTTCTCGCTTCTTCCTCTTCGCATCCTCAATTTTGTTGATATTCTTCAACCTTTTGTGCAGGATCACGTCCGAAGCCGGTACCATACTCGATATCGGCCCTATGCCATACTTCCTTATCAATTTCGTAAAGATGTCGCGTACCTTTTGGCGAAAATGACGCTTACAATCCTCGTTCATTCGCGACAGAGCGTCGATCATCTGCGGTAACGTCGGGGCCACGACGGTAGACGGCATCACGTTGATGTATACCTTCACATATGACAATGCCGACTCTACTACCTCCCTTGTGGGACTCGTCAGAATCGTACAGACGTGCCCCAAGATTTCTCCGATAGTTTCCATGCCCAGAGAACCGTTGTAATGATAAGTGAGGGTCGCCAGAGCCAGTAGAGTAGCACTAATGTATTTTTGTTCACCGCCTAAACCCACCATCAACATATCTGTATAATCCTTGAGATGCTCGGGATTGTCCAGGAATTTCTCGGCGATCATGTTGAGCAACTGATACGCCGTATTGCGACATCTTTCGTTTATATCCTTGACGCCGAGCACGGCTTCCGGTACGACGGCTTCCAGGAATTTGGTCTTCTCGAGCTGCGGATGCAACTTGACGAGATGCATCAGGCATCGTAGACGAGCGCCTTGACTCGTCTTAATCACGCTGGTCGCCGATGTTATCAGCGTTTTCTGAATCTCGCGTCTGTGCTCCCGCAGAAATTGTTTGCACACCTCTTGATCACTCCCGCACATCTCCTCCAAGAATCTATAAGCTTTCTTCTGCTCCTTTTGCTTGGTGCCGTCCTTGAGGAGCGGTACGCACATGTCGTAGTACTTTCTTAGCTTCTCGATGTCCGTGTAGCCGATCAGCACTCTTATCAGATCATAAACGCTATCTTTGAAAAAGTCGTTCGCGCCAGACTCGTCGAGCTTGCTAAGCGCGCGTTCAAACATCTCGTTCGCTAGGTCGCTGCTCGCGATCGTCATGTAAGTCTTGATCGTGTCGAACGCGGCGAGACGTTGCCCCTCCTCGTCCGTACCGCTCGGTTTCGTTGTGTACAGATTGAAGAGAATCGGCAGATAGTTCTTGGCGAAGCGAGCGAGCTCGGCGATGTCGTCAATGCACTCGTCCCGCGTCGCTTTTCCGATTAGCTTTCTCAGAGTCGCCATTACGAGTAACTTTAGGTCCTTTCGGTCGCTGAGTGTCATACCTAACAACTTGGCGATACTCTTAAAATTGTCCTTAACATCGCTAGCGTCGTTGCATATGCTCGGCAAGATCGACCAGATTTGCGGTATCAGAAATTCGTATGTCTTTCCTTCCATGCCTGCCTTACTCTTCTCCTCGCATATCAAAGCAATCGGCAGCAGAACGTCCTTGAAGAAGGAGATGGTGCCGCCCGTTACGCAGTCTTTCAACAGCGGGATCAGCCAACCCCGCTTCAGATTTATCGCGCCGCCGTCGACTTGTAGAGGGAGGATGCTCAATACGATCTGCGGTCCCATGGCTCTAACCGCAGCTCCAACAGCGTATTCGACGTCGCTGCTGTACGCGAAGTTGTAGGAATCTCGCAGCTCTCCCAGGGACCTGACAATATCTGTAAGTCCCCGAAGCTTTGACTTGCCGGTTATTTGGAAGAGCGAAGCTACGAGATGAAAGACGTGATGCCAGGCTTCGAGGTATTGATAACTCAACGCCTTGTGCATCAACGAAATAATCTGACTCAAGGTGGAAGTGTACCTATCAATTCGCTCCGCGCTCACGTAGAGAGGCGCCACGCACTCTTGCAGAATGATCTTGACGGTGTTCGACGCGCCAGCTATGATTTCCGTCTTGTTGGATAACCAGAGTTCGATACATCTCTTCAACATTCTCGGTATAACATAATCCAATATCGTCGATCCCACGTTGATGGCTGACGAATCATTCAAGGCGATATATACTAGATTGCAGTGAGCCTCCTGCATGACTGCCAACCACGCCAAGGTTGGCTGCACGTCGGTCGCGGATGGTTGATAATCATAAAGGGCTCTAATGATATCCTCGTTTCTTTGCAGTGGTAACGTCGCTTCCGATGGCCTAGAGACAAATAATCCGTGCAGTGTTTGCAGACAGCACGATGTTATCAATACATTCTTCAATGTCATGATACTCAACAGACGTTCGCAGATGGTCTTCACGTGCGACTTGGGCAGCTGATGCATTATGTCCTTCAACAGTGTAAGGGTATGCAGAATAGTGGTAACTCCCAGTGATGATCCTGATTCACAGGCGGCGTTCAATTGCCCGATGCAGTGCGTCGCGACCTGTCCCGCGGCCGGATGATGTTGAGGCGGCTTCTCGCTCTTCATTATATCGCTGCCCTTGAGAACGGCGCATATACCGTGTTGGGCAGACTTGCGTACCTTGGGCTTGACATGAGTGGTGAACGACAATATAGCATCCAGTACTCGCATCGTCGAGGGATTAGCCCAGGCGGCGGCTTCCTGCGCTCTCAGCAGCACCGAGAGACAGCCTATGCAGTGTCGCAGGATGAGAAAGTTCTCGCTCATGGTGTATTTAGATAGGATTTGGAGGAAAACCTGGCTTGTCGCGCCAAACTGTAAATTAAGTACGCCCTTTGGCACCGTTTTCAAGCTCATTCCAAGTAGAGATAGCGTCGCAGCTACAGAAGTGTCATCCTCGATCGCTTCTAGGGTGGTCGTTCTTGGCGAAGCGAGCGAGCTCGGCGATGTCGTCAATGCACTCGTCCCGCGTCGCTTTTCCGATTAGCTTTCTCAGAGTCGCCATTACGAGTAACTTTAGGTCCTTTCGGTCGCTGAGTGTCATACCTAACAACTTGGCGATACTCTTAAAATTGTCCTTAACATCGCTAGCGTCGTTGCATATGCTCGGCAAGATCGACCAGATTTGCGGTATCAGAAATTCGTATGTCTTTCCTTCCATGCCTGCCTTACTCTTCTCCTCGCATATCAAAGCAATCGGCAGCAGAACGTCCTTGAAGAAGGAGATGGTGCCGCCCGTTACGCAGTCTTTCAACAGCGGGATCAGCCAACCCCGCTTCAGATTTATCGCGCCGCCGTCGACTTGTAGAGGGAGGATGCTCAATACGATCTGCGGTCCCATGGCTCTAACCGCAGCTCCAACAGCGTATTCGACGTCGCTGCTGTACGCGAAGTTGTAGGAATCTCGCAGCTCTCCCAGGGACCTGACAATATCTGTAAGTCCCCGAAGCTTTGACTTGCCGGTTATTTGGAAGAGCGAAGCTACGAGATGAAAGACGTGATGCCAGGCTTCGAGGTATTGATAACTCAACGCCTTGTGCATCAACGAAATAATCTGACTCAAGGTGGAAGTGTACCTATCAATTCGCTCCGCGCTCACGTAGAGAGGCGCCACGCACTCTTGCAGAATGATCTTGACGGTGTTCGACGCGCCAGCTATGATTTCCGTCTTGTTGGATAACCAGAGTTCGATACATCTCTTCAACATTCTCGGTATAACATAATCCAATATCGTCGATCCCACGTTGATGGCTGACGAATCATTCAAGGCGATATATACTAGATTGCAGTGAGCCTCCTGCATGACTGCCAACCACGCCAAGGTTGGCTGCACGTCGGTCGCGGATGGTTGATAATCATAAAGGGCTCTAATGATATCCTCGTTTCTTTGCAGTGGTAACGTCGCTTCCGATGGCCTAGAGACAAATAATCCGTGCAGTGTTTGCAGACAGCACGATGTTATCAATACATTCTTCAATGTCATGATACTCAACAGACGTTCGCAGATGGTCTTCACGTGCGACTTGGGCAGCTGATGCATTATGTCCTTCAACAGTGTAAGGGTATGCAGAATAGTGGTAACTCCCAGTGATGATCCTGATTCACAGGCGGCGTTCAATTGCCCGATGCAGTGCGTCGCGACCTGTCCCGCGGCCGGATGATGTTGAGGCGGCTTCTCGCTCTTCATTATATCGCTGCCCTTGAGAACGGCGCATATACCGTGTTGGGCAGACTTGCGTATCTTGGGCTTGACATGAGTGGTGAACGACAATATAGCATCCAGTACTCGCATCGTCGAGGGATTAGCCCAGGCGGCGGCTTCCTGCGCTCTCAGCAGCACCGAGAGACAGCCTATGCAGTGTCGCAGGATGAGAAAGTTCTCGCTCATGGTGTATTTAGATAGGATTTGGAGGAAAACCTGGCTTGTCGCGCCAAACTGTAAATTAAGTACGCCCTTTGGCACCGTTTTCAAGCTCATTCCAAGTAGAGATAGCGTCGCAGCTACAGAAGTGTCATCCTCGATCGCTTCTAGGGTGGTCATCATCGCTGCAAAGTATTCCGTTGAGATTTCATTACCACCCCTCTGCTTGATGACCTCCGTGACGGCCGACAGCATGGCCAGCATCTCCTTGTGTACGAGCGAGGTGGATTGAAAGTGGCTGAGGAACCTGCCGAAGGAAACGTTGCTGCAATTGCTATAATCGCTGGCGTACGTCTCAGAGGAGCTGTTCGCTGTCCCGTCCACCGTACTCTCAGGCGGCTGATCTTCGTCGTCGATGTCGAGTTTCGCCAACTGCGGCTGGATACTACCCTGGATAGCATCGTGCTTCTGTAGATCCTCCCTCGTGATACCCGGCGTGCCGGAGAAATCCTTGAAGAACATACCGATGGCCTGTTCGCGGTGCCTCGTGATCGTCGGGTTGGAACTGGAACTCTGACCCTTGGCCCATCGCTTCGCCTTCTTCCTGCTTCCTAATCGAGGCAGCTTAGCCATCCTATTCTTTTTTGTCTTCACTTCTTTTTCAACTGAAAAATAACTAATAGCTATGTACGAGCACGTGAACAGAAAGATCAAGTAACCTTACTTTCACCCTCTTCTTCTTGCTCTATGAATTTCCGTTTCGTTCAAGTGTACAACTGTAATGCACAAAAACTTCCTTGGAAGAAATAGGAATTTGAGTTTCCAGCATTGGCCGCGTTCAGCAGAGAAAGCGCTCAGTTATCGTCTTGTCAACACTTGACGTTGATTCGTTGGTTCTAAAAGTAAGAACCAATCACATTCGATTGCTACTAAGCGGTTTTCTCTGCTGAACGCGACCATTGACTACAATGTTGTAAAATGGAAAATTTTTTTCGCGCATGTGCGGTGGTATACAAGGGAAATGAAAGTTGCCCGCCAAATTTCAAATTAATAAAACTTGTGTAAAATAAGTCTTTTAAGTCATACATTCTTGTATTTGTTTTGAAAGATATTACAAATTTATAATTATGTCAAAATATCCATGTTATTATGTTAAAAAAATGATGCATTTCTTTTTCGTTTTTTAACACAAATAGTTTTTATGAATGACAACTATGTTTACAATAATTGGGCTTAAACCGTTTGATTTGATATACATATTTTTGCTTTATCTTCTTTAATTCAAAAAATAAAAGAAGATGACTGACACTTGTGAGACATTCTATATACATATCTCTATTGTATATATATACATATATATATTCTATTTCTTCAAATTTTAAAAATTTTCACGGAATTATGTAAAAGATAAAACATCTTTTTACTCATATATACTAAATACTAATATATTGGATTGACTGGAAAAAAAATTAAGAACGTTTAAAGCAGTATATTATTTTATTGTGAAAACAAAAATAAAAATAATATAAACAAAAATAATATAAATAACTTTTGAACTTAATAAATATTAAGATCTGCTAAATAATGTTCTCGAGCTGAAAGTATCCTAATAATGGCACGAACTGATTCCAAAAGTGCAATCCAAGATAAAAAAAAAAAAAATCTTTATCTATCAATGCTAAAATTATGTATTCTCTGAGATTATTCATGTATCACATTATATATATATAATAAAAAAATATGCACAAACATTGCATTAAATATTTCTTTAAAAATCTATAATAAAAATATCTTATTAATATTTTTTAGTTTCATGCAAAAGTATCCAGAGTGTGTATATGTATATATCATATAATAATAATAATAATATAATAATATGTATGTGTTTATGTTTTATAAGATATTTATCCTCTTTTTTAAATTGTTTTCAGTCGATCTTTTTCGTCGGCATTTGCAGCATAATGTTTGATGAATCTAGCAGAGGGGTCTGTAACATTTTTTACCCAGCGCGGCATCCAAAAATAAGGTATAAAACTTTCCGCTTGTCCTTTGTAATGCGACTCGAAGATATTTCTAACACAAGCAAAAGATAAAGCATTATCAAACAATAGGAAAGTTTGCTTACTAAAATGTCTCTTTATATGTTACCTATAATAGAGTGCTTCTTTTGTTCTTGGTGTGCAATGAGGATATTTAGTATAAGCTGCATTCAAATCTTCGTCATGAACACGATTTTCTATTATTTCTTGTATCACTTGAAAAAGAGATTTCTTAATAGACGCAACTCCGTCACTGAAAGCTTCTTTATGTCTCCATAGTATATGCGAAGGTAATAAACCGGTCTCATCAAAAGCAGATCTTAACAAATGTTTTTCGATTCCATCTGTAATAACGTATACATAGTATTCGTTTTTTTTAGTATGCTTCCCTTTATGGACAATTGAGTAATATTATTTGCAGCATCATTTATAATGTTCAATTGCTGTTGCTCTACCTTGAGGTTGTCGTATATTGGGATCCAAGGACAAATAATACGATGTAAATTGAAGATCCAAAAATGGTACTCTCAGCTCCAAACTGAATGCACTCGTCGTGCGATCAGCTCTTAAACCGTCATATAAATATATATCCTTCAATAATCTTAGAGATTCATTATGGGCGTCTGCTGCACTTGGAGCATCCCTGAAATAAATATAGCCCTGCGCCAGTTCATCCGCACCCTCTCCACTGAATATCACAGTTGTCTCTGTATTTTGTTTTATGTACCTCGAAATGAGATACATTCTGCAAAATAAAAAGTTTCTTCAATTCTATTATATATAGAACATTCCATCACTATAGCCATAAAATCTATCTTTTTTTAACCAAAAAAGGCAGATAAAGAAGATTATATATGAATCTTACACTTAAATTTTTTGACTTATAACATTGAAATAATTCGAAAACTAAATCACACATATTTAATGTTATGTGTATTAATGTAATTTGTTTTACCCTATCGAAGCTCGAATAGTCGTAATGTCATATGTTTCTAGCGAATAAATAACATTATTCAATACATCAATTACATCTTTCTCTGTAAAGATAATTTCATGATGCTCACTTCCAATATAATCTGCAACCTATATTGCATAATAAAAAATTTAAAAAAATTACTGATGAGGAACGAGATGGGACAAAAGTGTGAAAACTTCCACCAACCTGTCTTGCAGCAATAATATCTGGACTGTCACCCATACCTATTGCAAAACTTTGAATCTTGTATGGTAAATTATGTTCTTTGGCCTGTTTCACTAGTAGAGCTGCAACCAAGCTAGAATCTAATCCACCTGACAAAAGACATCCTATCCGTCTGTCGGCCATTAATCGTTTTTCCACTGCTGCTGCAAATAGCTTTCGAATATTGCCATGGATATCTTTTGGACTCAAGACTGCAAAAGATAAATTAGACATTAAAATATGTACTCTCCATGTGTATTAATAGAATTTCATCTACTCACTAGGCCAAGGAACATACATATGGAAAGAAGGTTTGTCACCAGGTTTATGATAACTGATACTAGACAAAACCTTTGTTCGACCATCATGTAAAATTTCATATTCCTCGTAATGGCCTGGAGGAAATGGTTCCAATGTCCATTTGCCATTTACACATTTTGTAATTTCCATCAAACCCTAAAATAATTTTGTCGCATTAGTAAATTATTTTATAGAAATGTATTTATATATAAATAATATACATTTATATATAAAATTAACAAAGATCTTGAGAAAAAATTAATTTTTTATTTATTAATGCAAGGTACCTTACTCTCCGAAGAAATGGCTAATTGTCCATCGTCTGAACGTAATTTAAATAGTGGTCTTACACCATATGGATCTCTGCCTATTAGAATTCTCCTTTTGACGACATCCATTAAACAAAATGCAAATACGCCGTCCAGAGATCGAGCAACATTGTCAGCACCAGTACATGTATATAAATGCATAATCACTTCCACATCGCATTTAGTAGCATATTCAAAATGATATTGTTTCTGTAACTGCAATATATTGCATTTATATATTATTTGATAAGGATAGTTATTGTCTCATCATTTTCAATAAAATATCACGTACATTTGTATTTTAAAATATAAACATAATAATTTAAAATATCATTCAGATTCTTATTACAAAAAAAGTAAGAGCTATTAAAAAGTGATGCTTTTTAAAGAAATCTGTTACATTGATGAAATATGATACAAATATAAATATGTATATATATATGTATGTATGTATGTATGTATATATATATATATATATATATATATAAACATATGTAACAAGCATATAAATTTATTACTTATATAACATAATTATTGCTTAAATATGTTTTTATATACATGTATATAAAAATGTATATATAAACATGTATATATCATTATATTCCATTAATGAGAGATATTTCAGTGTTAAAAAGTATCAATCTCTCATCTTCAGCAAATCATAATTTTTTTTATAAATCAAGTGACAAATTTCAATTAGTATTTTCATATTCCGCTTGCCATAATTATTATGTAACATTACCAAGCTTTGTTCAAATTGGCGATATTGCTTTTAATAATATATAATAAATATGCAAAAAATCAAAATATATTACTCTGTCACAATTATATATCTCCCCATTGCACAAGAGGAAAAGATTAGGGTATTTGTGTATCCTCATTGGTTGCATTCCATACAGGCCATCAACAATGGCTAATCTGTGAAATCCCAGATATCCATTCTGTAAAAAAAAAAGAAAATATTCATGAAAAAAAAGAAAAAAAATATCACAGCACTGGTAATATAAGAATTCTAATTTTAACGCAAGCGATACCTTAACTCTGTTATCAAATTCGATTTTGAAAGCTTCCGGGCCACGGTGTGATATCTTGTCGAAATTTTCGCAGATGCAGACTAAGGGCTGCGTCTTCAATCCAAATAATGCCCAAATTCCACACATTTTTTTTTCTTGATAATCGTCGATTTTTCGATATTACCGATCGTTGTTGCCACGTATTATTTTGATATAGATCCCCGCTGTTATAAAAAGAAAAGGAATTTTGTAGAGGAATCATTGTAAAAAAAAGCTCAATGGTCGTAATATTACGCGATAATTGTAATATTATTTAATTCGTGAATGACATAATAAAATAAAATATTAATTAAATACTAAAGAGATGGATCTCTAAGTAAATGCACTTACTTTCGCGCGCCACGTGTATCCACGTATATACACGTATGCACACGTTGCGCTTACGCTATCGCACTGTCGCTCCTGGCCCTGAGCCTTGGCCTGGCAGTGTATATATATATATCTTGATATGAACATATTTTTTTTCTAATGATCTAACAAGCAGTGGTCTAGTTTCCACCGAAGTATTAATTCGCATCTAGTGCGGCGCAGGACTAAATTTAAGTCGATGGAAATACGACTGACTGCGTTCATTTCACTCTCACTCCGATCTACAAGCTTTGTCGGAATGGCAGCGAATTGACACGAAATTTAGACGGTGGAAACGCTTGAAAGTAGATGGTGCTAATCTTTACTTTCCATTATTTCGTAACCATCAATATATAGTCGATATATAGTCTATATGTTGATGTTCGTAACAGTTACCGTTTGTGACATTTTTAATTTTTAGTCTAATCGATTAAATCAGGGCTTATTCGATGCAGAATCGTTAGGTGGTCACAAATCCTTTATTTACAACGTTTGGTGGTCCATAATTTATCCAAAAAGTAAAAAAAACCATGTGCGGTTAGGTAGTGGGGATGGCTAACTGGAAGCTGTAAAGTTAGCCGAACAAATATATTATTTACCAACCAATTTTGTTCAAATTGGTCTTAATTGAAAGACAATCGTTTGGTGGTGATTGGTAGTCTAATTACAACGTTTGGTAGTTAATTATTAGGCTACTACGATTATAAAACCATGTGCGCTGATCCTGCGCCTGCGCGTGCCTTCGTCGTGTAATGACTCTCGCAGTCCAGCGCGTTGACGCGACGCGCGATATCCAATGAGAGCTCTGATTTCCGGAAAAAATAAAGCTCTCATTGGATATCGCGCTTAGCGTCATCGCGCTGATCTGCAAGAGCCATAATGCTGATATTACATTCAGACAAAATGTTTGTGGATTGGCAATGAGATGGAGAATGCGTAGTCTGATACGGGCTTTATGATTATGCGCTTATGCAAAAGTGTGTGCTCCTCGCTTAAATACATAACACATACGTCCCATAAATAATATATACGGGTAGAAGAAAAGAATCAAGCGGCACTCCTCTAGAGAATGAAATAGCTTAAAGTATATCGGTGTATGCTAGACTATTATCATATACAGAGACTCTAGAAATTTTTTACTCGATAACCAATCGCTACGCCAATAGCTTTATAGTAATATTACATTCGTCGTACGATAAACTTTTGAGATGGAGAATGCGTAGTCTGATACGGGCTTTATGATTATGCGTTTATGCAAAAATGTGTGCTCCTTGCTTAAATACATAACACATACGTCCCATAAATAATATATACGGGTAGAAGAAAAGAATCTAAGCGCGATATCCAATGAGAGCTTTATTTTTTCCGGAAATCAGAGCTCTCATTGGATATCGCGCGTCGCGTCAACGCGCTGGACTGCGAGAGTCATTACACGACGAAGGCACGCGCAGGCGCAGGATCAGCGCACATGGTTTTATAATCGTAGTAGCCTAATAATTAACTACCAAACGTTGTAATT